GCACTCAAAAGGTGCACGTGTGGCTATATGTACCCTTACTGTAATTGAAAAACATAACTATTTAATAAAACGTTCCCCAGCCAAAAAAGTTATAATACCGTAAAAAAAGAAAAAAAAAAGTTATATAGTGTTATATAATCACTTGTATAAATTACCCAATAAAGATACGAGCAAGGCCTCACCTTAACAACAAAAAAAAAAAAAATTTACATGTGACAAATCGTGTAACTGCTATAGTATATTTGGTATATTTTAGTAATTCTGATTGGTTAATGCTATACTGCACCCAAATTTTAAACTTTTCTATTCAGATTTTATAACCCGGCAGTAGGGTGTCTGACACTGCTAAAAAATTGTAGCATGCCACATTCCAAATTCATGCCAGAATGCCACCTTGGCATGCCATAGTATGCTGTATAGAGTCAATCAAAATTTGTTTGTATTTAAATTAATCAGTACAAGTCATACAAGATCTAGCTTAAATTTATCTAGTACAACTTTAAGTGCATTGTGTACATTTTTAATTCATGCTATCTAAATCAATATCATGATTGTCAAAGTTATTTGATTAGCATCGAATATATTAACATGTAGTAATTATTATTATATATGATATGAATTACTTTTTTATTAATGAAATATGTAATTTAATTAATTGAATCTATTTATAGCCAACAATCATCACAAAGAATTTTAGCATTTAATTAATATAAAACAAAGACCGGTGCTAAACTGTGTATATACTATTTAAAAATTCTCACGAATGTGTAATAAAAAAAGTCTCAAACATATAAGCAAAAAAAAAATAACTATTTAAAGAAAAATTAAAAAATAAAACCTTATTAGTTAGTATATTGACATTTAACATGCACTATTTTTTCGCTTGTAGACTTTTATATACGTTTAAACAAATTCTTTAGATTACAGACAAAGAGATATATTAATAAGGATATATATCAAATGAAAATCTATAAGTAATATTTTTATGCATTTAATAGAATTAAAAACATTATTTGTAAAATTTCATTTGGAATTACTTCTAGAAGCATATGTTGTGTAATTCTTATCCAAATACATATATAATTTGTTGTTCATATAAATTTAATCGAATGCACATACAATCTATCATTATGTGAATCTGATCTGATCTGATCTATGTAAGCTCAAGGCTTTCTTGTCAATAAAAAGATAATATCGAATTCAGAATCAAAACTCCTATATATAATGTGAAACAAAGCTTTCGCATAAACTTCGCTTGGCTAAATTGCTCAGCTAAATATGTAATAATTTAATTCAAAAAATTTTAATTAGTTCATTATTTACCATGCAATCTTAACTACTTTCTGGCTTTGTTTTTCCTGACATAAAAACCCATGATCATTATTAAACTGGGTATTGGCGCTCTTTAAAAAAAATTTTAAAAAATAGATATACTGCCAAATATGTTTACTGTAAATATGAGCTATCTGGAAGACCTGAAAAGCTTCATAATCATGTTCTTAATTGTGGTAGCTGGCCTATTACTGAAAAGAGCAATTATATTAAAAAAGTTTTTAGCATTTTTCCTAAATCTTGTAAAAAAGCATTAATTAGTTTGGATCAAAAATAGTCTGAGTATGTTATTATAAATAATTTTAATTATTAAATACTTAACTAACTAAAGCTTATATAGTGCTAGTGCTAGTGATACCATGGATAAACCTTTATCTTTGCTAAAATAGCAAGGAAATTTGATAAATTGGTTTGCCAAGCCGATTACACAAAATCAACAATCCAAACTTGACAAAAAATTACTTGAAGCCATTATTTATAGCAATCTTTCCTTTAAACTTATGAAAAATCTCTATTTTCTTGAATTCCTTAATAAACTGGCCCCATATTATAATCCACCTTCTGCAAAAATCTTAAGCAATAAAATTCTTAATAATTTATTTTTGACTTACTTGGCTAAGAAGTTTGATGTAATGATGTCTCTTAATGACATTACTGTTGCTTTAGATGGATGGCAAGACGTGTCCCGAAACTCTGTTTATAGCTTTATGGCTTTAAAAAAGGAGCAGGAATTCATTTTAGATATTGCTGACTTATCAGCCAGCCGTCATACTGCAACATTTCTTAAAGATCAGCTAAAAAAGGTTCTTAAGTTAAATTCTGTCTCTTTTGATTTTGTTGTTGCATGCGTGACTGACAATTTTTCAGTCATGATCAAAATGAGAACTGATCTTAAAAAAGATTATCCAAATATAATTTCTATTCACTGTTGCCTTCATGCTTTTAATCTACTTGCTAAAGATATTCAGCTTTTTAACCTTTACTTACAGTAATTAGGAATAATCAAAAAATCGTTAACTTTTTTATCTCTTCTCATATTTGGCTTCGAACATTAAAAGATTGGCAAAAAAAGAAAAGAATATATCATTCACTTACAACCTTCTGTGAAACCAGATAGTACTCTCTTGCAAAAGTGTGTTTAGGTGTAAAATCGTTTGAAAGAGGATTTCAAGAATGTATTAATCTTAGTGGAACTAATAACTATCCCACTATCAGATCGGAAATTCAAGATATAGTTAGTAGTCGCTATCATTTTGCTAATAATGATACATTAGCAATATTATTTGTTCCCATTGTAGATGCTATCAGTCGTCTTAAGTCAAGAAGCACTATATTAGCTGATATTTTTAAGGAGCTAATAAACATTCACTATACCATTTCAACAGCAAATGTTCCAATTAGAGTTCTGCAATTTGATTTGATTTGATTTGATTTGATCAAATATTTGATCTCAAATCAAATTCAAATACAGAAATTTCAAATCAAATCAAATTCAAATTGACAAAATATTCGATTCGATTCGAAAATACTTAATAAAAATTACAAATAAATTTGATTTGATTTGAATTTGATTTAATCAAATCAAATTTAAATCAAGAGCTTATTCGATTTGATCAAATTCAAATATATAAATATTTGATTCGATTTGACTTTGAGAAACCCTAGTTCCAATTGATGGATTCAAATATCATGCATTGGCGGCTATTAATAAATAAGTCTGTGAGTTCTCCGATGATATTTATTTTGTTGCTCTTTTTTTGTCCCTCTATTATAAACAAGTTGCAGTGTCAAAAAAAATATCTAGAAATTTAATTGTCAGAGCTTGTTTAGAGTTAGCAAAAGCTTGGAGCTTTAATAAAAAAGAAACAACTCTCTTGTATAAAGAGCTCATTAATTATAAAAATAGTGATTCTCCTTTTAATACTTACCAAAATACTCAACATATTAAGGATATTAATCCTAGAACCTTCTGAAAACAATTTGATAAAAGTTTTCTACTTCTTTGATGATTTGCTATAAAGGTCTTTTCAATTGTACCACATGCATCAGCTGTTGAAAGACTATTTTTAGGCTTGGGATTAGTAAAAACAAAATCACGAAATAGAATATCTCCCACCCTAATGGGAATGCTCAGAATGCTTTATTATAACCTTTATCAAAAACTACTTAAGAGATTAAAAAAAAAAACAAAAGATCAAAATTCATCTACAAATCTTACAAATACTATGAAGATTGAGAATATTAATGTTGATCTTTTATTTGAGGAAAAAGAATTTGAAGAGTTTATGGAAGTTGATATTGAAATAGTAAGTATTGATACAAGAGACAGGTTTATAATAGAGGAGTACTTTAATATCAGTACCTTTGAACAAGACCAAGAAATTATTGAAGAAAGTTCGACAATTAATCTACAAGAGTCTATCAACACTGAGGATTGGTCAATTGATGATATCCTTTTTTATTTCTAAGTCAAATAGTAATTTATACAGTATATAATTAGTATACAGGTATAAATAACAAATAAATTAATATAAAGCTTTATAAATAAAACATATCGTTGCGAAACTTGCTTTTTATTTTATAATAAAACATATACTTATTGCTTTCATTATCATTGTTAAGATCAGAAATAATTGTTATTTACATGAATATATTGTACTATAAAAGAAGCTTAAATTAGATTGTTAAAGGATTGAAAAACTCAAACTTCACAAATATATTAGATCTTGTAATAGCGATATATTTGTGATCTAATATATGATTTAAATATATCTTCGGCTCTTACTATAATATCGTACAATAAAAAAACTCTACTAAGTTTTGTTACATATGCTCCGATTTTTGGAATTGGGCCTTTTTTAGATCCTAAATTATATATCAGCTGATTATTTTGTACCCCAAAATCGGTAATTAATCGATCTTTTTTTTTCAAACTACTTACAAAACAAAAAATTTTATATATTCTAACGTGTCAAACCAATTGTCTGTCCTTAAAACCAATTGTTCTTTTCTGGGATTTAGTTAAGTAAGAATAAGCTTTATAGAATATTATATATATTATTATAAAATTAAACTAATTTTTATTTTAATATAGATTTAATATGGAAACTAATGATCTGTGCACTTACTTGTATCCTATAGTTTTAATTTTCAACTATACTTTACAACAAGAGTTTAAATGTAAAATTTGTGAAGTAAAATTTAAAACAAAACGAGGTCTTAACCATCACCAAAGTATTGTATGAAAGTACAATGTTCGCCGGGAAGAATTATGTATACTACCTGTAGAAATAGTAAATCAATTTAAGAAGGATCTTGTTTCACAGGTTGAAATCAAAAATATCTTCCCTGTATCTTCAAATAATCAGCCTAGGTAATAGAAGGGTGATATTGTGATGGCTATAAACTGATATGATGGGGTATTAAAAA